ATTGAAACACCAACACTACATACAAACACACTCCAGCATTCAAACATGCTTCACATGTATACCACTACTTTTAAGTAGCAACAGTACATATTCAAATGCCAATACTAAACACATATAGACCCATTCATTTCACACGACATACTCCATAAATAAACATGCTTACTTTTAAACACAAATAACTGATCACAAGTAAAACCCTGCAAGGATGAGCAAATGGTAGATCTCCAGCTGGCAATGCATCATGGGATATGCACAACAGATGGGAATCTATCTTTTGGTCAAGCTTGTGCTTTGGGAGGCCTAAAATAATTTCTTGCACCGGGACCTTCTCTGCATTAGTTCTGGCACTGCCCGCCTCGCTGAGCACAGGTGACGTCACGCCAGCACTCAGCGTAGTTTACTGTTGTGGAAGAAACATGCTTGCAGCTAGAGTGTGTTCCCTAAAAAAAACCTCCTACACCCAGTAAAGATCCACTATACATACCACTAGGGTAATCAATAAATGACTGTGGGGAATCTGTGGGGTTGGCAGGTGGCTTTCTGTAACTAAGCTTATCTTCACTGATCATGGTTAGCCTTTTAAAATATATACTATTATTTATAATATTGTGTACTATGAATCCAATGAGCCTCAAACAGCATCACATGAGACATTAGGCTGCCAGAGCATCACATGAATTGTAATTCAAAGAAGATGTAATTTAATCTAATTAGAGCCTCTACCCCCAACACAGCACAATATACCCAACTAAAAGCCCCTCTCCCCCCACTACAGCTCCCTAACCCTACCCTTCAGCCCCAAACCCACCACACTACAGTCCCCTGTCCCCTACCCTACAGCTTCCTATCCATCTGTTACCAGTGCCCCTTCCGAGATTTGGTTCTGGATTCGCCCCTGACACACACACACACACACACCTTTCATTCAGTGCATTTATCTACGCAGTAAATTGCAACTTTGAATATTATATACAAAATGAGAAAAAAATGCACCTTTAGCTGAACAAATTCCAGCCAAAAGGATACACAGAAAATGGATTAATGGGGTACTAAAAAGGGCCTAACCCTTATATTAACCAATACACACAGGGCCGGACTGGGGATACGAAGCAGCCCTGGAAAAAAATCTATGCCAGCCCCATAAGTCATTGTGCTATGTAGGAGGGTGTATATATATATATATATATATATATATATATATATACATATACATATATACAATTGAAATAGTTGGCTGCACTCTCGGATTTCCTGAAAATGTAACTTTTATTGAAATATTTAAGAGAAGATCAATGTTTCAGTCCCTCTTGTGGACTTTCGTCAGGATCATGACAAAAGTCCACAAGAGGGACTGAAACGTTATATATATATGCAATTGAAATAGTTGGCTGCACACTCATGCTTACTACAGACAAGCTCACTGTACACACATGCTCACCACAGACAGGCTCCGACACACCCATGCTCCTTACAGACAAGCTCACTAACACACACACACACACACACATATGATCCCTACAGACAAGTTCACTGACACACATACAAGCTCACTCACTAGCAGGCACACACACACAAACTCACTAGCAGGCACACACACACACACACACAGGCTCCCTCACTAGCAGATGCGCGCACACACACACAGAGGCAGACAGTCACTGACATCCAGGCAGACAGCCACACATACACACAGGCAGACAGTCATTGACACCGAGGCAAGCACCCACACATACAAAGACAGGCAGACAGCCACACACTCACACACAGGCAGACAGTCACACACACAGGCAGACAGTCACACACAGACAGTCACACACTCACAGACAGTCACACACAGATAGTCACACACTCACAGTCACACACTCAGTCAGACAGTCACACACAGACAGTCACACACTCACAGGCAGTCACACACAGACAGTCACACAGTCACAGGCAGTCACACAGAGACAGTCACACACTCACACAGAGACAGTCACAGACTCACAGGCAGTCACACAGAGACAGTCACACACTCACACACAGTCACACACTCACACAGAGACAGTCACACACTCACACAGAGACAGTCACACAGAGACAGTCACACACTCACAGGCAGTCACACAGAGACAGTCACACACTCACAGGCAGTCACACACTCACACAGAGACAGTCCCACACTCACAGGCAGTCACACACTCACACAGAGACAGTCCCACACTCACAGGCAGTCCCACACTCACAGGCAGTCCCACACTCACAAGCAGTCACACACTCACACAGAGACAGTCCCACACTCACAGGCAGTCACACACTCACACAGAGACAGTCACACACTCACAGGCAGTCACACAGAGACAGTCACACACTCACAGGCAGTCACACACAGACAGTCACACACTCACACAGGCAGTCACACACTCACACAGAGACAGTCGCACACTCACAGGCAGTCACACACAGACAGTCACACATTCACACAGGCAGTCACACACTCACACAGAGCAGGCGATAGTGGAGTTTCAGCTGCAGCACGCACGGGTCTGTCGCTCTGCGGAACAGCACCACTTCACCACCAATGAGTGGGCCTCCATGCGAGACCTGTGTGCCATGTTGCGCTGTTTCGAGTACTCCACCAACATGGCCAGTGCTGATGACGCCGTTCTCAGCCTTACTATCCAGCCGTTGAACAGTTTGGCAGAGAAAAGCAAGGCAGAGAAGTAGTGGCAAAACTAAGTCAAAATAAGTAGCTGCTTCTGATCTAAGCCAAGAGAGAGCGACAGTTACAGAACCAAGCTGTGGTGATAAGATAGGCACGTCCGCACCTAAGCCCGACCAAGGCGAAAGTTACAAAGTAGGTGACAGTGGCGTAGCAGAATTAAATATTTCAAAGACATCTGGTATTGCTACAAAGACTTTGAATGATTGTCCGGGAGCCGTAGAACTAGATCTGCTGGCAAAGACTACTGCTACAAGGCCTGGGCGCACTGACTACCGGGAACAGCTGCCAGATTCTGGGAACACAGTCATGGAATTAAAGGCGGGACTCGGAATGCCTGACCGGCTGTTTGATACCAGGGCTGTAATGACCCAGCGAGAGGCCATGACTGCGTCTCTGGACACCCCCCATAGGGAGCAAGGCAGGTTCCCAGGGATTCGCAGAACAGATGGAGGATGTTGTGGAGCCCTTCGCGGAGGGACTTGTTCCAGTGGAGTATGAGCTGGTGACAGAACCAGGTCTTGAAGAGGTTGAGCACCTGGAAAATTCAGCTCATGAAGGAATTGGACGTATAGCTACATGCCAAGCCTTTGCAAAGTTTGCTTTTGAAAGTTACTCTAACTTTGAGAGATTATCAAATCAGAAGCTGTGGATGTGGAAGCAGATGATTGAGAGGAACTTGGCTGCTAAGGAGCCACATCATATTCATCCTCAGCCTAGATCCGCTAGCAACCAGATAAGCGGGGAAAATGGAAAGAAAGGACAAAACCTGATACTGAGCCTGGGACAATATAACTATGCTGGCGAGACCAGACTGAGAAAAACCTCTGATGCTTCAACTGCCACATGCAAGGACATATTGCATATAACTGTCCTGAGACTGAAGAGCCAATACAATGTGACATAGGAATAAGGGCTCTGTATAGGATAGTATTGACTTGCTTAAAGATGTGTATGGTGACTGGTGGTGGTGTTACAGCACAGCTAAAAGTCGTGATGGTGGTAGGGAAGAGTGCACTGACAGATTCAGGGAGTGAGGTTACTCTGATGAAAAGTGTTCTGTTCCAGCCAGAGTATGCAGCTGCCTACCTTGATGTGGTGTTTCACATGGTGGACTGCGTAGCACACCTGATGAAGGTCCGGTTAGTTGTGAATAATGTAAGGGCTACCGGTTTGACCGCTAACACTGCTAACTATTTGGGTTATCCTACTGGGTGGGGGCTCCTTAAACTACAAGGGAGCAAGGTAGCCGCTATCTACAATAGGCCACTTCCTGTAACTGAGAAGCTAGTCAGGGCTGGTAGAGCCCTAGGTGTTATGAATGTTCATGGTTTGTGTTCTAAGGCCGCTCGACCCGATGGGTCTGAGCTGGGGAGGAGGATATGTGATAAAGTGAAGGCAGATAGGCCTTTTAACCCCAGGGGAAGTACGTGTAGTTTGTGTGTTGCACAACACAAACCTTTGTTTAGTTATGGGCCCCTGGGGTGGAGCATTTGGAGAGAAGGGTGGGCCAGTGCTCCACTCCACAGTTTAGTGGTTTTCTGGGGAGACATAGATCCAGGCCAGGGTTTTTTGGACCGTCTCCAACCCACTGCTCAGCTGCAGTTAATGAGCTGTTGCAGTGGGAATGAACCCCTCCCGGCTAGGCAGGAAAAGGAGAGGGATTGCTGGCTTCCTCCCAGGAAGCAGGTAGGAGAGAGGCTGTTCTCTCCATATAGAGAGTCAAGGAGACTAGGCACTGGGAGTGCAGAAAGGAAGCAGTCAAGGCTGGCTTGGAGCACTGGGTGTGCAGAAAGGAAAGCAGTCAGGGCAAGGCTGGCTTGGAGCACTGGGAGTGCAGAAAGGAAAGCAACAGGCTAGCTAGCAGAGTGTTGCTATCTAATAAGGTTGGTACAATATTGTTTTGTTTAGTTTAACCCTGAGAGATAGGGAACCTAATGTCAGTTAGTGCTCAGACGAGCTAGGTTTTTGTTTATAGGGTTTTCTGTTACATTTATGTTTTCATTTACTGCTGTATCCTGTGTGGATTTACAAATAAAGTGCCTGAGTATATGCAATTACAAGGACTGTGCATGTTTTTGCCCTAGAGGACCGTGCTACCTGCTGACAAGGATCACTATATATATATATATATATGCAATTGAAATAGTTGGCTGCACTCTCGGATTTCCTGAAAATGTAACTTTTATTGAAATATTTAAGAGAAGATCAATGTTTCAGTCCCTCTTGTGGACTTTCGTCAGGATCAGTTGATCTTCTCTTAAATATTTCAATAAAAGTTACATTTTCAGGAAATCCGAGAGTGCAGCCAACTATTTCAATTGCCTATATATATATATATAAATATAGGCAATTGAAATAGTTGGCTGCACACTCATGCTTACTACAGACAAGCTCACTGTACACACATGCTCACCACAGACAGGCTCCGACACACCCATGCTCCTTACAGACAAGCTCACTAACACACACACACATATGATCCCTACAGACAAGTTCACTGACACACATACAAGCTCACTCACTAGCAGGCACACACACACAAACTCACTAGCACGCACACACACACACACACACACACACACACACACAGGCTCCCTCACTAGCAGATGCGCGCGCACACACACACAGAGGCAGACAGTCACTGACACCCAGGCAGACAGCCACACACACACACACAGGCAGACAGTCATTGACACTGAGGCAAACACCCACACATACAAAGACAGGCAGACAGCCACACACTCACACACAGGCAGACAGTCACACACATACACAGACAGTCACACACTCACACAGGCAGACAGTCACACACACAGGCAGACAGTCACACACTCACAGACAGTCACACACTCAGTCAGACAGTCACACACAGACAGTCACACACTCACAGGCAGTCACACACAGACAGTCACACACTCACACAAACAGTCACACACTCACACAGACAGTCACACAGACAGTCACACACTCACACACGCAGTCACACACAGACAGTCACACACTCACAGGCAGTCACACACTCACACACAGTCACACACTCACAGTAACACACTCACAGGCAGTCACACACTCACACAGAGACAGTCCCACACTCACAGGCAGTCACACACTCACAGGCAGTCACACACTCACACAGAGACATTCCCACACTCACAGGCAGTCACACACTCACAGGCAGTCACACACTCACACAGAGACAGTCACACACTCACAGGCAGTCACAGACAGACAGTCACACACTCACAGACAGTCCCACACTCACAGGCAGTCACACACTCACACAGAGACAGTCACACACTCACACAGAGACAGTCACACACTCACACACAGTCACACACTCACAGTAACACACTCACAGGCAGTCACACACTCACACAGAGACAGTCCCACACTCACAGGCAGTCACACACTCACAGGCAGTCACACACTCACACAGAGACATTCCCACACTCACAGGCAGTCACACACTCACAGGCAGTCACACACTCACACAGAGACAGTCACTGTCTGTGAGTGTGTGACTGCCTCTGTGTGACTGCCTGTGAGTGTGTGACTGTCTCTGTGTGAGTGTGTGACTGCCTGTGTGAGTGTGTGACTGTCTGTGTGTGACTGTCTGTGTGTGTGTGACTGTCTCTGTGTGAGTGTGTGACTGCCTGTGTGAGTGTGTGACTGCCTGTGTGAGTGTGTGACTGTCTGTGTGAGTGTGTGACTGCCTGTGAGTGTGCGACTGTCTCTGTGTGAGTGTGCGACTGTCTCTGTGTGAGTGTGTGACTGCCTGTGTGAGTGTGTGACTGCCTGTGTGAGTGTGTTACTGTCTCTGTGTGAGTGTGTGACTGTCTCTGTGTGAGACAGTCACACACTCACACAGGCAGTCACACACTCACACAGAGACAGTCAGTCACACACTCACACAGGCAGTCACACACTCACACAGGCAGTCACACAGAGACAGTCACACAGTCACACAGAGACAGTCACACATTCACACAGAGACAGTCACAGAGAGACAGTCACACATTCACACAGAGACATTCACACAGGCAGTCACACAGAGACAGTCACACATTCACACAGAGACAGTCACACACTCACACAGAGACAGTCACACACTCACACAGGCAGTCACACACTCACACAGAGACAGTCACACACTCACAGGCAGATACAAAAAGATATGGAAGGGCTGCACCAAATAAGGGTAGATAGTCCAGTAAAGTATTGCTAGGGTGCCAATAGATGGTCTAGGATACTTGATAGAGTTCCTCTGTGGATGCGTCTGGTGTAGACCGTTCCGTATATGTAAATACAAGAGAGGTAGAGGCAACTAATGGTATAGTATGAAAGTTCAGGGTGTGATAGGTAACAAAAAGTAAAGAAGTCACATTCAAGAGAGCTATGGCCAGCTCTGGTGTGGATTGCGTACAGCGGTATAATCCCCGCTTATGGGATATGTAGGGAGGGGGTCTCCGTCAACACCGTCTGGTAGTCCAGAACTCGTAAAAGAAAGACAGAAAGCAACAATAGTGCTCTCAATTTTGATGTGGTTCAATGTGCAGATAAGAAGAGGTAAAAAACTCACATTTGAGGGAGCTATGGCCAGCTCTGGTGTGGATAGCGTACAGCGGTATAATCACACAGAGACATTCACACACTCACACAGGCAGTCACACACTCACACAGAGACAGTCACACACTCACAGGCAGTCACACACTCACACAGAGACAGTCACACATTCACACAGAGACAGTCACACATTCACACAGAGACAGTCACACACTCACACAGAGACAGTCACACACTCACACAGACACACTGACCTCCTTCTTCCCTCCTGCTTGGAGCTCCTGGAGGCTGGTTGTTGGGGAAGCAGGGACTCCTTCCTGCTTCCCATGCTGCAGTCAGCCGGGCCACGCCGCAGGTAAGCCCCGCCCCTGCCCCTGCTAAGCCCCGCCCCTGTCGCACTAAGCTCCGCCCCGCCGCAAATTTATTTTATTTTTTATGATCCCGGCCGGCCGTGTGTGAGCTGTGCCGGCCGGCTCCCCCTGCTCCCATGGGGCTCTGTGCGGCCGGAGCTGTCAGCCCAATGATTAGGGCTGTCAGACCGGCCCCAGGTGCCGTGGCCCACCGGGAAATTTCCCGGCATCCCGGTGGGCCAGTCCGGCCCTGATTCTAACTTGTGATGATTACTGGGTGGCCACAAGGACAACGTGCCGTCCTTAATGCCCTCACTGGAGCGTGATCGGAAGATGCATGACTACAAGCGCACGCTGGTAGACGTGCTGCTGAGGGTATTCCCAACTGACACCGGGGGCTCAGTGGAAGCACAAGGCGAAGGCAGAGGAGGAGGAAGAGGTTGCCAATGCAGCTGGGGCACCACCAGCACCTCAGAAGGGAGGGTTAGCATGGCCGAAATGTGGAAAAGCTTTGTCAGCATGCCACAACAACCAGCACCACCAGCTGATATGGAACGTCTTAGCAGGAGGCATTTCAGCAACATGGTGGAACAGTACGCGTGCACACGCCTACACGTACTGACTGATGGGTCTGCCCCATTCAACTTCTGGGTCTCCAAATTGGGCACATGGCCTGAGCTTGTCCTTTATGGCTTGGAGGTGCTGGCCTGCCCTGCAGCCAATGTATTGTCTGAATGTGTGTTTAGCACGGCAGGGGGCATTATCACAGACAAGGGCAGCCGCCTGTCCACAGCCAACGTGGACAAGCTCACATTTATTAAAATGAACCAGGCATGGATCCCACCAGACTTGTCTGTACCTTGTGCAGAATAGACATTTATACTGGCCTCACCAGCCATTGTTATACTCAAGTGCACTTATTCTTTGTTTTCTTTTTTTATATGTCCCAATATTTTGGGGGCTACCCCAAATTAAAAAACAAAAAAACAAAACAAACAGTTAAAAAACAGTGTTGGCTACCTCCTCCACCGCCGCTTCCACCTACAACGCCACGGTCACCGCCTCCTCAACCTCCTACTCCACATCCACCTCCTCCTCCTAGTTCAAGATTATTTTTTTTTTTTTTTATGTATCCACATTTGTTCTTACCCCCATTTTACTTCATTTTGCAGCCCTCTAGCCCTTTCCAGGACTTTTTTAGAGCCATTTTAGTGCCCAAAAGTTTGGATCCCCATTGACTTCAATGGGGTTCGGGTTCGGGGTCAAGCTCGGGTCAAGTTCGAGTCCTGAACTTGAACATTTTGCCGAAGTTCGTCCGAACCCGGCGAACTCGAACATCCAGGTGTCCGCTCAACTCAAGCTGTGAGTTAGACCTCTGAGAATGCAAAAGGAGGACTACCATTTAGACTATCACCCATTTTTGCATTTAATACCCAGGGATTTGATTAAACAGGAAAGCATTATTCCATATAGAAATGCTACATTTCACCAATACATGCTTAGTCAGAACAAAATGGGATATGGGGGAGGGGGAGTCTATCCTACCTGGGTTGTGCTGCATAAAACAGCATATCTGGAAGTATCTAAAAGATACTTTATGTGATAAAGCAGTGCGTTAGTGAAGTTCACTAAATGTATCTAAATTAGGCGGAACCCCAGAACCCTACAACGTTAGCAGGGTTTATTTCCTTCTTGTTCCAATGAATACAGAAGGAATCCTACACTCAAAGCTTTCTAATGGAGTTTAGCCAGTAAAATTAGCTACTGATGAGAAAGGTTATCATGTTCCATACCCTGAGCGATAGTTGGGAGGTAGGTATTAGTATTTGCAGGTTGGGTCTAGAGGCCCTTGGAGTGGATAGCATAAACTGGATTCTCCATGGGTTCATAACCAAATCCTCCATATCAACTTATTGCAACATACCAAATGGAGCAAATAAGAGAATGCTATGAGCTAGTTGAGAGACACATTCTATTGTATTCTTGTGATTCAGATTGTAATTTTGCAATTATATTACCACTTTTTATTATTATTATTTTGTTCTTGTGTTTTTCCTTACTCCCCTTATCCCCTATATATACGCCCTAGGCATCATATGTTGTTTACTTTGTCTGTCGTAGTTAGACAGCTAATCTATTCTGCATTATTGTGTTAGGGATAGTTTATTTTAGGAAACATTTTTTGGAATTATAAAGTATCTTCTAGATTTTTAACAATTTCCCATTCTAGGGACAGACTCCCTTCTCTCTTTTTTCGTATTTGGTGATATATTTTAGGTAAGTGGTGAAGGAAATTATCCAAAATATCGGAAAAAAGAGCACACCATATTATAGGAATTAAAGAGCACACCAAGGCAATTTGCCTGCGGGGTAGAGGTTACGATAATCCATATACCTTAAGGGAAACAGGCACAGACATAGCTTTAGAGGGATAAAAGACAGAGTTCGGTCTTAAAGAGGTTGAGTTTTAGGAATATAGAAATATATAGTCAAAAATAGAGGACAGACAGCCTGTGACACGTTCCAGCAGAGGAGGAGACAGATCAGGTAATGATACTGGGTATCATCAGTGTACAGGTGATATTGAAAACCATAGGATGATATCAAAATACCATGAGTGGCAGTGTAACTTGAGAAGAGAAGAAGTCCCAGTACAGAGCCTTGATAAAAACATGAGACCAGGCAACCTTCTTCCATTGCTCCGTGGTTCAGTTATGACGCTTGCATCCCCACTAAATGCGCTATCAGTGGTGGACTGGGATTATCATGGGCACTCTGCTTAACATGCAGCAAACTGTGTTTTGACACCTCTCTTTCATGGCCAGCATTAAGTTTTTCATCAATTTGCGCTACAGTAGCTCTTGTGTGATCGGTCCAGGTGGCTAGGCTTCGTTTCCCATGTGCATTAATGAGGCTTCGTTTCCCATGTGCATTAATGATCATTTCTTTGTCAGTGGGCAAATGTTCAAAATCAGCAGGGGATTGTAGCGGAGAGCTGGTATTACACAGCCTATCTCCACTTTAGATCCCAGGGCGGTTCAGGAACAAGCAATTATAAATCCATAGGGTAAAGTATCCAGCAGGCAAAATAACAGCAGTATCCCACTGCTGCCACCAATGTAGCGGAGAGTTGGTCTCTCACAGACTATCTCCGCTGGTAATCCAAGTGAGGCTCAGGAACAAGTAGTAAAAACCAAGAGAATAGTATCCACAGTGAATAAAGTAATCCAAGAATATCCCATCACCTTTCCCAATGACTGGACGACACACAGCATCAGGAGCAGAACTGAACTTTTATTGCACACATCCTTCTTTTAAGCATTTCTCCCATGCAAAGGAGGTACCTACAGTAATTATTACAGTGACCAATCATTTACCCGTTACCTCCCACACATCTCTTCCCCTCAGTATGACACATAATCCACTTATACAGTATATAGTTTTACCCGGTTTTCAGATGTACCCCAAATATGCTAGATACAATTATACGTTTTATATCCCCTGGTAACCCTGATCTGGGTGAGCAACATATTCAAAAATCACCCAGATTGGACCAGGGGTTCGGGAGTTAGGTGGAAGTAGTTATTTGACCGACCGTACACGAGGCAGTAGCCGAAAACACTTCCATGTAGTCGACAAGCCCACTCTGCGTGCAAGTCTTTTTACGCTTTCTTTAGCTCCCTCTGGTGTGATGGCATACCAAGCCAATATGACTTCTTTTACCCGACTGTAGTTACGGATTTCTTCGTCGGATACAGTGCGGTAAGCTTCTGCTGCTCTCCCGGTTAGTCGTTCAGCTAGGATGGGGACCCAATCCTCTGAGCTGATCTTATGTAGAGCAGACAGTCTTTCAAAGTCTTGGAGGAATGCATCTTTGTCTTCCTCTGCCTCTATACATTTTGAACGCTTGGTAGGGTATCTTTGGCTTACCCTCTTGTAACATGGTCACTGCTGGGCTTCGTTCTGGGGTTGAC